TACTTAATAGAATTTTGTAAAATTTTAAAGATAAGAAATAAATACCACGAGTTTTATATATAATTTATAATTTGTACTCCCTACCCTTAATCAATTCTACAATAGCTGACTTTTGCGTAATAAAATCAAACTAGGTAGCTATAATCTTCCTTGTATAGCAATCTATTCATAAAAGATCATTTCGTGATTCTTTATTTTTATACAGTTTGCATTCTAAATGCAATCCTTCCCTCCAAAGTTCTCTTTCTTGCAATACTAGTTTTATTTCTTTTAGCTTTTTTTGCATCGCCAGATCTTCATAATCTCTATCAAAAATCATCTGTTGGGCTCTTCAAATTCTATTGGTATTGATATAAGTTGTAGATCACATTACTGGTTGGTTTTTTCTGGGCCCAAATTCATTCTCGATGCAATAAGAGCATTCTTCGTATATTTGTATGATTAGTGCTATTGTCAAAAGCAAAAACAGCAGTTGTGTTAGGAAACTTTGCCTCAAAAATTGAAATTGCCTTATTTTGGACTTGATCTAACAAATTATCAATAGTCCAATAATTTTCTTGATTTTTACTAGGCATTATATAGCATCATGCCTTTGCAGAAATATTTGGATGCATTCTTATTTCTTCATTGTTTAGTTTTAATTGACCATACTCTTTTGAAATAAATTTGTTTACTATTACCGATCTTCTATTCCCTTTTTTTCATAATGGCATATTTCCAGTGGGTACTCAAATTTTTCTTTTCCTATTATTCATGTAAAATATACTTTCATCATGGGTTACAAAAATTAGTTCTTGTTCCTCTTTATTTAAAATTGGTAGAACTTTTATCATTGCTTTTCTTTCGTACATTGCTATTCTTTGTTCTAATACTCTCATTCTATCTAAAAAATTCATCTATATGCCACAATATCCTCCCTTTCATACCCATCAAAATATACACCTTTTTTATATTCTTTACATTTACACCCAAAAGTATTCAACCATCTTTTTGCAGTATATAGACTAATTGTTTTTTTTTTATCTTCTATATATTCAGATAAAATAACATTATTTATATACTGCATAAAACAATATGAGCTAATGCTATTTACACCTAATTTTTTGCATATCCATTGTCGATATTGCAACGCAATATCCTCATCATCAATCATTCGCTTGCACTTTTGGTGCTTACCACATTGTATAATTGGAAATAAACTATGTTGTAAATAGAAATTAGCCAAAAACTAAATTCTTTGTACTGTATATGGTTTTGGAGAAATACAGATAATATATACAGCTTTATTACTTGCTTTCATCTTTCTGACACCATCTTTTAACTACACCAGATACTCATAAACTGACTGTTATTCATTATATTCAGTGACTGTAAGTGTTTGTTTATTTTTTAGATCCATCCAAAGTTGTTTAATTGCTTCACGATTTGTAAAGCACATTTTGTCTGTATTAAACATTATCTCTTCTATATCAGATATTTCTATTCCAGACATTTCTTCTACACCAAATATTTCTCCTACATTAGATATTTCTTCCACATCAGACTCAGCTAAAATTTGTATTTCTTCTTTGTCAGACTTAGCCGAAGATATCATTTCTTCGTCAGACTCAGCTGAAGTTATCATTTCTTAATCAAACTTAACTGAAGTTGGTATTTCTTTAATATCAGACTCAGCCAAAGTTATTGAAGACCCACTTACTCGAGGTGATATAGAGTTACTAAAAAGTTTATTTGCTTGAGAAATCATGAGAGGCACTGAAGATATTGAAGAACTTCTAGTAGTCAATAGCAGTTAAAAAAAAAAGGTTAAAAATCTGTTTATTACACAAGAACTAAAACCCAATTTACTAATCTTGCAGTTTTAAAAAAATAGGTAATTTCACATGCATACCGAAAATACCAAACTTATAATAATATGTTGATTTTGGCAATCCTTTTATTTGCTTTTTCTTTCTTTCTTTTTCTATACGAGGATTGTTTCTTTTTCTTCATCAGTCTTTTTTTCACTTTTCTCTTCGTCAGTCTCTTTTTCACTTTTCTCTTCATTGGACTCATTATCTTCACTCAAGATACCAGCAAATTCATCCTCAAATTCCTTCTCTTCAACTTTCTTCTTCTGTCTTTTTTTCAGCTTGTTCTCTTCATTTATCATTATACTTTTGAAGCATTTTATAACTCTTCTGTTTTGGCATACTTTAATTTGGTCTTTACAATTCTTAAAAAAACTTTGATTTTAAGAGTTATTCTTTTTTTTTATTTTACCTTTGAGGAAAAAAAAAAAAATTTTGGAGCCCCTTAATTACAAACAACTCAGATTTGTACTCTATATACTAGTCCTCTTCTCAAATAAAAGATACAGAGCATGAGAAATTTTTTTTGATATGCATATTCATTAAAATTAGACTGTGAAAAAAAATAGCTTAATGAGGCATATCAAAGACATTGTCTACTTAAATATTGTGCTAAATTCGGTTCTATTTGTTCATCACGTGACATCTGGTCACCAATCAAATTTCAAATGTGCATAAAATTGAAATTGATTAGTCAACCAAAATCACATTTTTTGTTCTATTTTACCTGAAACATATGTAAAATTGGATATTTTTAAACCAGTATAAATCACAAATAAATAATTTTTTTAAAAAAAGAAGGCTGCCAAGTTGTAGTTAATTGATTTAGCTACAATTGGTAGCCTTTTTTTTTGTTTTATTATTATTATATTATAAGCTATTAATATTTAAAATTTTGTAAATTTATTTGTTTTTAGGTATCACGTACTGTATAAACAAAATTTTAAAATTTTATATATAATCTTTTTTTACTAAAATAATCTATTTTTGTTTTTTAAGTAAATTTGTTTAATATAAAATTTTATATATTTTATATTTTATTTTTTATTTTTTTTGGTTTTAAGATAACCTCTTAATCATGTTTTACTTTATTATACTAGAATAGTTATTATATATATTTGAAGAGTATATTTAGTTATACCTGTATTTTTTGAGTACCTATTTAAATAGTCTGCCTATTTCTAGGTTTTACACTATTTGCTATACTTGCAATCTAACTAGGGGTTATCTATTTAAACCCTTTACACCTATGTACTCTAAGACCTGCATTAATCAGTACCCTTTATCCAGTTCTTAGAACTAGTCTCACAGACGCATGTTTTGAATAACTGATTTAGGACTACTTTATTCTTGAGATAAATCTAATAGAGCCTGCAGTATTTCCACTTTATACTACACCTAGCTTATGCTTCAGTTTGGTATACATAGTCTATAGTTTACTACTTGTAGCTCAGTTTAATCTATTCTAGGAGTGTGAGTAGTACTGGGTCGAAGTCTTTGCTTATAGTTTTTCTCCAGCTTTAATGTAACTAGATTTAACCCCAGTTTGGCTGAACTTTGCTACCCAAACCTACTTCTACTCTTGTAGAGTTTACTCAAACCCTAGAACTTACTTCATAGTATATTCTCAATACTTTAGTAACTTAGCTCCCTTTATCCAGACTATTAATTCAGATAGCCTAGTATGTAATCATTTATTTTTCTCTAATTCAACAGTGGTCTAGTTGGTGTTGATGATTTTATCTATTTATTAATAGCAGGAACCCAACCCTAG